TAACAGTGCAGAGCTGGCCAGGGGACTGTCAAGCAGGCTGGGTAGTTTCTTGTGCCTGGGAGCTCAGCAGCCTCACGCTCCAGTGCTGCCCCTTCTGCCAGTTACTTCTGCTGTCTCATAGGGTGAGTGGCAAAGGCAGGCTGTGCTCAGTTCTTCACCAGCTGGTAAACCTGGAGTAACTTCTAGCTCTTAGTCCTTGTACAAACCCTAATCCTGCTCCCCCTGAGGGAAGAATCTGCCTGTCTTTCCATTAGGAGAAATTTATGCCACCGTGTTATTAGCTTTCCTCCTCCCTCGCACTTTATGCTGAAGGGATAATAGAGTTCTGTATTATGAAATCTTCTTCCATTATTTATCAAACCAACCACTTCGTGGCATGACTTTGCTTTTCCTTGTGGTGATTCTTCCAAGCCAAAACTTAATAAATAATTTCTGCACAAATGCTATTGTATCCAGTGCTCTGTATCACTGGAGTGCACTCCTTGTAAAGTGTGTGCTCTGTGTGTGGGCCTGTGAGCCTAACAAGCATATATAAGGTGTGCTTAGGTACGCTAAGAATTTCAAGAATAAATGTAACAAATTGCTATGAATGAGTCATGGAATCATAGAATCAACCAGGTTGGAAAAGACTTCAGAGATCATAAAGTCCAGCCCTTGATCCAACACCACCGTGGTTACCAAGTGCCACATCCAGTCAGAGTCATAAGTGTTCAAAAGTGAACACTTCTGAAATATTTCATATATACAGCTCTCCTATCTAATGAGGTGTGCAGAAATCCCTGTACATGACAGATACTGAATATTCATGTGAAGTAACTTAATCATAATAAGGGCCTGTTCAGTGAACATACTGATATTGTTGAACGCCACTGATTTTGATTTAAGTGAAGTGTCTAGACAGTGGAGGACCTAAATATCTTGATGGATTTGGGATTAGAAATTGAATTGCCAGACTCCTGGATATGTTTAAAAAAAAATAGGTTAAATAATTAGGTCTAAAAAATAATTAGGTCTAAATATAGATAAGTTATTTTCATTTGAACTATGATACTTTTTTTGTAGTTTGCATTAAGAATTTTATATTGAAATGTAAATAATGATATGGATGAGTAGCTGCCTGCAAAATGAAGTAAAATAAAAATCCAGGTTATCTTGAATTCAAGTGTTAAAACACAACTTTTGGACATTGATTGTACAAGCACAGAATCCATAACCCAGACTTAGGACACAGACATATAAACCAGTTTCTACATGAACTTAAATCCTGGTGAAAGAGACACTGCAGAATAAGGCTAGACATATCTGAAGAGCATTTTAAGGCAGCAGGAGTGCAGACCAGTCTATGAGCACCTACTTTGAATGAGCTGAGAGAGGGAGCTGGAATGAAAGTTGACTCTTTGTCATGGAATCAGAGCTGCGGGAGCTTGGATCTGTGCACTTGGAGTGTGTATTTCTGTGCCATCTGCTGAAACTGGGTACCTTTGGTCTGTGTTTTAAAAAAGTGCACTCTTCTTCATAAATTGACTAAAAGTGAAGTTAGTGGAATCATCTTTAATGTACCAGCTCGGTGGCTGGAGCTTTAGTTGAGTAAGTGAAATAGCACCGTGTTCATCTGGAGATAATTCATCCCTCATCCACCACCTGCTGCAGGAGTGTGTGCAGCGACTGATGAAGGCACTTTTTGGTACAGCCATTGTTGCTGTGTCCTTATGGCAAGGCAAATTCAAAAGACCACGAGTGGAAAAACATATCCTGGAGCATTTTGCTAAAGGCATCCCTCCGGACTGAACAAGTCCTGTGCCTCAGTAGCCTCCAGAAGCCTGTTTATGTGCATCCCAAGAAATGGTCATGGGATTGTGGGTTTCCCCAAAAGAGGAAAAATAATGCTGGGGGTGTTGGGACACTACAAGTTTGGGTAATTGGAGAATTTGAAATTCAAACTGGGAGTTGATTGCTGGAGGCCATTCCTTCCAGGATTATGCAGAAGCTAATGTGTTTTTGTTAGGACCTTCAGTTACCCACCTAAATCATGCAACTTTATGCTTCATAACACTTTGGAAAGCTTTAAAAGCCAAAGCTGGTCTTTGAAGTTGAATCTAAAAATCTCAAAGTCCTGGGAAGCCTTTAGAATGAAATGTTAAAGCCTCCAAGTTCAAGGCTTTAAAATAAAAATGCTGTATTGATACCTAGCTAAAGTAAACTTAAAAATTATTGCTCCTCACGACTTTCCTGTATAGCAGAGCTCACCCTTAAAAAGTAAAAGGGTATTTGATTTCTGGTAGCTACTTCAGAATTTTTAGTAGTAAGAAGCAATACGGTCAGTACTTAGTTTTCAAATTAGAATCTCTTCTAAGTTATTAATTGGTATGTTTTCTAATTAATCACTCCATAATTTGTTTTTTTTCAGTCAGGCAACCTCGTAAAAGAGAAGTTTATCAATAGATTACATTTACCAAACCGCAGGAACATTGCAGATTTTTGTATTTAGAGCTAAAGTTCTACTAGTTAATTATTTCTTATTTTCTTTTAACTGATTTTGTCACTTCTCTGGTTCAGAGTAGAAAAATTGACAATGTGAAACCTTACACTGGAATTTGAATTAATTGGAACTTTTCATTTTCAATACTTTTAATTCTAGTAACACAGAAAATATTCCAAATTCAGAGCTTTAGATCTTCTTATCAGAAAGTATATACTTCTCAGTAATAGGTTGTCAGAATTTGAAATCTTTTGTGTGCTGAGGGAATATGCACTGAAAATAATCAACTAAACTGGTTTTGGCCTTGTGAAGCCAGTCTGTCATTGAAATGCATTTCAAAATATGTAGGGATGTTTCACCAGTGTGGCAGACAACATTGTTGGTACTGATATGTTCTGCAATCTCTTTGCTGAGTACTAGCACATATATCCAGATTTCATGCTCTGGAATAAGAATAGCAATCGTTTCTATTCAAAAGAGAAAAGGTGAGGGAAGGATTGAAAGTCAGGGTTAAACCCCTATTTGGCGTAATCAGGGAGCTCAGCTGTGTAATAGTATAATAATGTGTGATATGTGTAATATAATAACTTGTAAAATGTTCCATTCTCTCCTAAATCACTTCTTTCTCTATACTAGAGTGTCATGTCACATCTTCCCTACGTTTACTGGAAGTCTCTTTTCCCCAGTTATTTGTTATTGAAGCTGATCTAACTTCAGAGAAAAGAATTATTCAGAGGCAAAAGGTCCTCATTTTGACATGTTTTCTCTTAGCCTCAAAATCCCCATTTTCTGTTGTTCTGGAAATAAAAATCCCCTGTCATCTGCTGGAAGCAACCACCCAGTGGTGCTCTATGGATGGGTATAATTTACTCTGCTGGCTTGTGCAGAGCACTCTGGTGCTCACAGGCCATGGTGTAACAGGTTTGGTGGTGGTGTTGTTGTGGAGGTCAAGAGCCATCTGGTCCTGTGATTATGATTGTGGGTGCAAGAATATCCTCTGGTCAGATTAAAATGCATTAAAAGGTATTTGTAGTGTAGGGGGAGTCCTTGATAAAGCCAGACCCAAGTTTTCTGAGAGTTCATGTTATGTGCATTTTTTGCTTATCAGGGTGTATTAAGGTCTCCTGATCACAGAGACAGGTGGGATGAGAGAGCAGACCCCCATGAAGAGGTGACACATAAGCAGTACTTTGCATAAGGGACAATATTTGGACAGACATTTGCCTTAAAATAAACCAAACCCAAACAAAACAAAAAAAACAAAACAAAACAAAAAAAAATTTTCTGCACATGTTAAAAAAAGATTTCTGGATTACCCATGACAGAAAAGGAGGAGTTGCTTAAAGGTGGTGGGGGAAGGAAACTATCTCCCAAAATTCACCGCAGGTGGTGTGAGCATCTGCTCTAACGCTGCTGCTCCTACGGCCTTGCCAGGCAACAATGCTTAGAAACCACAGCAGGTCAGTGAGAGCAGCTGCCAGGGGTAAAAACTCCACATCCAAACCGTAACCTAATGCACTCAGAACCATAAAACACTCTGGCACGAATGATAATTCCAGTACATCACTCTGTCGCTGTTGATTTGCCTTCATTGGATGGATGCAGCCAGATTAAATGTGAGAATGAGCAAGGAGAACTACAAGTAATGACCTGCAGAATCTTGCAGCGGTTGAACTCGCTGTACGAGTGCCAGATTTTGATCAAAGCATGTCTTTGTGTGACTGGAGTGTAAGGAAGTTTTTTCAGATGACTTGAACAGAAGGTCTCGTTATTTTTGCTCAAATGTAAATACATGGATTATTTCCTTTAAGAAGAGCAGATTGTTATGTTCATGCTTTTTTGTGTCTGTGTGCTGGAAGATAGAATATTACATAAATATTGGTCAAAGCAAGCCATTTTTGATCTCTGTACTCCCTTGAAATTCTGGGCGCTTGTCATGAAAACAAAACCAGCTGTAAATGTGTTATATTTATTGCTTTGCACAGTTGTGAAGATGACCTCTCCTGAAAACCCCTTCTTGATAAGTAATTAAAAATTGACTCACTCACTCATTCTTTTTGAAAACATCTTTGTAGCTCATTTCCAAATTTAATGAGCCTGACTTCAAACTAATTCAAGATTTAACAGCTACTTCTGAGAATTGTCAACAGCAGCCCTGGATAGACTGTTGGCTCATTCAAGAGGCAGTATAAACTCATTCAGTCTGTGCAAAGCTCTCTGTTCTCTCTGAAGCCACGGCAACACAGGATGTGAGTTTGCAGCTGGACCACACCTCTGGCTGTCATTGCTGTTCCATTGTGTTTAGAACCTGCTGGTTTACACTGATTTTTGAGGTTTCAGCCTTTTGCCTGCTGGTGTATATCCATGTCCATGCCTGTAATTTGCTGGAGAGCTTTCCATGGGATTAGAGCACAGGAGAAAGACAAAAATTAACCACTCTGCTTGTGCCCATCTTGGTAACGTGCAGCTTCTTCCATATTTACAGATAGATAAGGAAGATGCTTCCTACTCTTCCTCTCAGGTTCCCTTAGCTGAAGTGATGTGACATGATGCATAAATTTCAGTGAGAGTGTCTTAAAGAAAAAAGAAACCAAAGAAAACCAGGCAAATGGAAAAGGTAGGGTTTTTTCCTGGTTCAGCAAAACTGATGTTGGGGGGATTTCAGCTTTATTATTGGCCCCTGTTAACATACTGAACTTTACACAGATCAACTCTGAGACTGATACAAGCCTAACCTGATATGCTGATCGGTTCATTGCTTTAAGTGCCTTTGTACCTTCAGCTGAAACACAGCTCATCCAAAAATTAGCTTCTGGTTTTAACAACATGCACTTCCCATCTCTTTGGCTTCCTGCTGTAAGTGTATGTATGGGGAGTCAGATGTGTGAAATGCAAAAACCATTGAGTGTTACAGCATGGGGATAATATTCTTCAGCATCTTAAAACTCAAGATGTCACTTGTCAGCATAGAGAAAGCTCAGTTATGTCATTATCTTCCTCGTTACATAGGCAAGGCTGGCAGGGTAAGCTGGAGAAAGTAGCACAACCTGCTTGCCTCAACATTTTTCCCGTTCCTGGTTACCCACTGCTGGAGGCAGAAGACAGGAGTGGATGGGTTTAGGATCTGATGGAGTATAGTTATTCTAATGTGCTTGTGCTCAGATGATTGCAAATGTGACAGTAAATTGTAATCCTTTTTTCATCTTTGCTTCTGTATAAATTGTGGTTACTAATTTTCCCTTATAGCTCTACACTGAAATTAAATAATAAAGAATGGAGTATATAAATCAGTATATAGAGAGATGAAGGTTGGTACCATTTACTCTAGCTGTCCCATCTTGTTAGTAGGATTGTTGTATTTGAAAATATGAAATAGGCTTGAGTTGGTTCTTTTTAAGTTGAATTTTTTTCCATTATTTTTCTTATTTTCTGCTTAATTTTATATGTGTGGCTCAAATGGTCTAAACTCAGAATAAACTTAGTTGATCAAAAACTAGACATGCAAGGCTGTGTGTGTGTGTGTGCACAATATCATGACTATATTGTGTTTTTTCTGCTGGAGGTCTGGAAGCAAATTCATTTCTGCAAATTCACTGCTTTACTTCCTCTCTGCTGTTTGTGCCTGGTCTGAGGGCCTTTCCTTTAAATTAGACTGGCAGAAACAGAATCTTTGACAGGGTCTATGGAGTCTTTTGTTCTCCTCCTTGTACAAAGTAAACTTTACTTGGGATAGGATTTTAATTTTATTCATTTTAGAGACTAAAATTCTTTTGGTTCTTTCCTTAATAAAAGGAAAGTGTTACAGTGGCGAATGTTGAAAGCATTATAACAGCTAAACCCAGATACTGTGATTCCATAATTTACATAGCAGTAAAATAAGGGTCTCTTCTGCAAAGGCATGTTTGTTTTCCTTGGTACCAGCAGAACAGCCTTTCCTTGTACAGACTTAAACAATTCCACAGTCGCCTTTGTCAAAAAATTACTGTGTTCTTTCTGACTGGAAATAAATGTTTGTCTTAAGTAAATTGTAAAGTGGGTAGCTGCAGGATTTCTTCCAGGCAATTTACTTCCATTATATATAGAAGAATCACATGCTAATTTGTATTTTTTATATAAACATGTAAAGTAGTCTTGCAGCAGTCAGACTCTTTGTTCACAATGTGATTCCCTCTCGCATTAAGACTCTGCTACTGAAAAGCCAGCTGAAGGAAAAAGCTTAGGCAGTGCATGAGGACAGGAGGCTTCAGGGAGCAGAGAAAGCTTCTCCTAATTTTTTCAATAAATGCACTGATTGTCTTTTCTGACAGAAGTGCCAAACGTGTTTCACAGAATACAACTTGCACTTGAGTTCACCTCAGGAAAAAAGAGGTTGTGTGATTTAAAGCTAACAGGGAACTCACTCCATGGGTACAAATGGTCTCTTAGCTGAGGATTGTCATAAGTTTACTTGTTCTGAAAAACCAAACAGGGCTGTTATTTTTTCCTTTCCCCATAATTCCTCGATTGGAGCTTCTTAATTTCGGATTTACAATTGCTTAGAGTAAGCATTTTGGTCTACCTCATAACTCGTTCTCCTTAGCAAAACACTTCAGCCTCATTAAACTGAGACAAGATGCTGCCTTTGGGAGGAAAAATGGGCTCTGTTTTGGCCCAAGACAGTCCAAGAAGGACTTTGTCACATCCTTCAGTCTCCTGCAGGGTTTGTTTGTGTGCTGGATGCTGTGCTGATGAACTTCTTGAGAATGCTTGGGTTCCATGAGTTGTTTGGCAGCCTGTAATCAGGGCAATTGAAAGATTCAAATCATTAATCAGAAGGAAAGAACCCTTCAAAAGAGGTATCTTCAGTGAAAAAGGACTTTTGGGTCATGACTTATTATCTACTTTGTGCCAAGATAATCTGACAAATTAGCACTGAAAGTGTTGGGGATTACTTCAATTTTTACATTTTTTTAAATTCTTTTCAGGAACAAAATGCACTATTTGTTCCATGCTTTGAAAGTACACATATACAGTGTACTCTAGGTGGTAACAAAAAGGTTCTTTGGGCCTTCTCCCCAGTCCAGACCCTCATGGGTTCATTAAAAGGAAATTTCCTAAGTTCAGTTGATACACTGTTTATACAAAATATTCCTCCCAAAATTACATGAATTCCAGCAAGACAATTGAGTATTTATTGTTTCTGCTCTTGAAATCAAGTGGGCTGTTTCTAATCAAGTTTCATGTTGAATCTATTAATTTTATAATTATCTCATCAACAAAATTTTCAATAGGCTGTGATAGAAAGACAGACAATCTACATAGATCAAAGAAAATCATATAAATGACCTTTTTAAACTACAAGCTGGAAAGAAAATAAGCTCTACATTAGTGGCAGAGCCGGTGTCCAAGTATTAAAAAATTTGCCTCATTTTTTATGAGTAATAGGTTTTGATGGGGCTTCATTCTTGTTTTTTAAATAAATGAGTAGAATATTTCCTGGTTTTCCTTATCATCAAGGAGATTTTAGTTTCACTTTGTTTTCATGTATTGTGAGCTATCACTCTTTACAAATAATGAAACAAACGAATTTCTTTTGGTTTTTGGAGCTCTCGTTCCAAGAGTTCTCTTATACTTGGGTGTCCTACTTAAGTCCTCCTAAACCTCAAATTGGAATGAAAATTATCTGAGCTACACCAAGGTGGTGACCAATTCAAGGACCAAAAACCAGACAAGAACCTATGCACCATGTCACTACTGCGTGTTCTGTTCAGTATCTTCTCTTTTTCCTCGACAGAGTATGAAAAAACCTTCTTGAACAGAAGGCAGTATCACAGATCATCTGTTCTTCCTCATTTTTTTCCTTGCAATTCTTCACAGAATTTGAAGAAAACTTATTTCTGAACTAAAAGCAAATTGACTGACCTAAAATGTCAATGCACCTTCCACCAATGGCTTTAAATTATGAAATTATGCAGAGATTTCTCGGTATTTACTCACCCAAATTAGTAAATGCTAGAAATGCCTGCAATATTGCCAGTTCTTGTCCTATTTACTTTCTGTATTTGAAATCCTGTATAACCTTTGCTGAAACCTTTCCGAAAATTGAAGTAATCTGAGTTTAGCTTCATTTCTCTGAGTGTTCGTACAGCATATGTGTTTCCCTCTGCTCTTCCAACCTGGTTCATTTCTCTTTGTCAAAAGTCTGAAGGTATGATCCAAATCCTTTTTGCTCATGCAGGAGTTTACTTTCTGCTCAGCTATTTAATTACAAGACCATTTATGCTATATTTATTCATAAAGAGAAGTAACAACCCAAAACAGACAACTGCTACTTTACAGTGGTGTGGTTATTTTACCAGAGGTACTTCCTCTTTCTCTCCTTTTCCCAGCAGACATGGGCTTAATGAAGAGTGAATAATCCAGGGGTTCTACTCTTTCATCATGAAGTGCTTTTTCGTGAAGTTTGACATTTGCAAACTGGATTCATATTTCCTTATTTCATAAGAAAAGACTCAGGCAATAGTGATCTTAAAGGATCATAAATATATTTATTTTTTACATTAGTTTTGTTCAGATCTTAGATTAAGGTTGTAATCTTTATAAAAATATAGATAATTTAAAATATGATAGGTTTTGTCATTGGTTATATGATCTGATGTTCTCATAAACTGATACGATATTTCAAATTTTCATTGGAAACACTTTTTTTTTTTTTTGTTATTACACTGTGTCCTCAGTTGCCTGTGTATGGTAGTGGAATAAAACAATGAATTTAAATAATGATCTGCTGCCAGAAAAATGAATTATTGTGTCCAGCAGACAACTGCTTAAAGTCCCTATAACATTTTAATATGTCTGAGATGGCAAGGAGAGAACCATGAAACAATACTCATGCCTGGCAAGCTCACTCTTTATCTATCAGACTTCCCTTCTAGTTGTTGCCTTTTGCCCAGAGCAGCTCCTCTTAAGGCCTCTCTGTTTGGGTATTTCTGAAATCCCTTGTATGTGTGAGAAAAAACACTGTTGGCTTCAGATTTTTTTCATTTTATCTTTACTTGTGTGTCTTACTGTTCTGTAAGCAGGGATGTCAAAAACCCCACAGTGCCTGGTAGGTAAACTGAAATATATAAGTGTATTTCCTGTTCCTTGATTATATCTGCAGAGAATAAAACTGTGGAGTATCTGAAATGAATATATTTCTGTTACAGCTACTATACAGAAAGAAAAAAGAAGAAAATAAAAGATAAGAAAAGAATAGAGAGAAGAAGAAAACTAAAAGATGAAAAAAAACCACAAAGAAATGAAAATAAACCAGAAGAAAGGAAAAGAAACAAAAAGAAATGAAAAGAAACTAAAAGAATTGAAAAGAAATGAAAAAGAAAAAAAAAGAAATTAAAAGAAATTAAAAGAAGTTAAAAGAAAACAAAATGAAAAAAATAGGAAACTAAAATTAAAAAATTAAAGAAACCCTCACCCTCTCTCACGTGCAGTTAGTGGACCAATCTTGGCACTCGAAGGACCATAAGAGCTTTCTGTGCTGCCAAATATTTTCTGGAAGGAATCTTCATCTGTCTTGAATTTTGAGAGTCAGATGACCAATTTCAGCGCAGCGCTCCTGCAAGTGAATGACT